GGTAACCAAATCCGTTCGGTTCCGCCTGAAACTGATTCCAGGATCGAATTCCTGGCATTTCCCGGCAGGTTTCCTGCGGGTTTTCATCGGAAACTTACAGGAATACTGCTGCAAGAATCATCGATTTGGGCTTTGCAGAATCAAGTATAGGACTAAAACAAACACAAAAAAGATTGGTTTTATTTTTATTTAAGTTTTGATAAAGATCTCAATGAATTCAGAGCTAAATTAGATGAATTTTATCTTGTCAAGATATGATCTTATGAGTTGATGGTATATTGATACAACACTTGGTGATTATGACACTCTGACGAATTCAAAAAAGATTTGATAATGAACTAAAATGAAAAACTCAATTACCTAGAAAACATATTGAAATGTAGAAATTTGATTTAGATATGCCACCAAAAATACAAGAAATTTTATCCGAAAATGACGATGATTTAGTTACATCATTCAATACAAAATCCGATGAATATTAATGATGATAATATTGCTTCATACTAAAAAAGATATGAGAAAAATCTTTTTTATTTTTTTTTTTTATGTGTCAAATATCAACAGAGAATATATTCATGTAAATAAAAAAATATGTATCGAACTACTTTTATTGAAAAAGATATAATTATTTACCTCGATTAAATACGCTTTCAAAAAGTCGACTTTCTTTTCGATTGCTTTGTGATCAGTGTAGAAAATGAGAAGAAGATTATATTCATTAAATAATTGATAATATTACATCAAAACAAACTGACACATTCATTTTTGATTTATCATCAATAAACAAAGAATTATTGAAATAATATCTTCATTATATGCTGATATATTTATTATTGGTTTTTATTGTCAAACAAAAGATGATATATTAAAATCAAGAAATTTCACATTGAAAATTCGACGTTTATTTAATATTCTTTAAAGTGCTTTACAAACTATCATCTCATCGCATATTATTACAATTTGAAATAAGTAGTGGAAAAATGAAATGAGTAGTCAAAATAATGAATGAGTACAGATATTGTGTATTTTTGTCCAGTTGAAATGAAAACTTATATGATAGGAAAGGAAACTCAATTTGGTATATGAAAGCAAAGCAACTATTCTAATTCAATTTAGTTTATGACTTGATTCAATAACAAATAACGAGAATAATAGAAAAATTCTTAAAAATCAATTTGAACAACAATGGAAACAATCTAGAAATAATTTAAAAGCAAATTAAGCATATGATTTAATAGAAAAAGACAAAATATTTACTCGAAATTTGTAATATAATTATTATCTAATTATTTATAAGATAAAAAAAAGGATATTGTATAATTCAATTGGATGTATCGAATTCAAAGAAACTAACTGAAAAGTAAAAATAGACTTTTCAACGATCGATATGAAAGAAAAAGTAGAGTTCGAAATATGTTAATAAAATTCTACGACTGTTCATCAATAATAAAATTTAATTACTTCTGTACATTTATAAAATATTAAATTGTACGAATAAATTCAGCTGTCGACACTTGTATCTAAATTTTGATCAAAATGTCTAAATATACTTTGTTTTTAAGTAACAGATTAAAAATCTAAACAATTATTTATAGAATTAGCTTTTATTACAATTCATAATAGAAAAAAAATAATTAGACTTTTGTGTACTTGAATAAATCTGTTTTACAATCTCTTCGTATTTATCAAAATTGTAATTTTTCTCTTTGTTTGTTTTCTTCTTATATTTTTTGTTATGTCCTGCATTTTACCCAGATTCCGTTCTGAAGAACGATCATCACTATGATAGCGTGGATGTTATATTCTCTTTTGTTCTACTTCGAGAAATATTTTTCTCTCTTTCATACATGAGGCTCTTCTCTCTCTCTCTTTGTTTTCGTAGCTTTCGTATTATTCTAAGCGATATCCACTTTGGAGATTTCTCTTTCATATTCGTATGTCGGGTTTCTTCTTTTTTGTCAATCTATATATTGTTGTTTATTTTTTATTGATAATGCGTGATAAATAAACTTCAAGCAAATTACAAGTTTAATGATATTATTTAAACAACAAGTGGTGTTAATAATATTTTATTAATAAAAAACTGTTTTTAATTATTTCGTTATTCGTTTCTAAATGATTTTTTATAATATTAAGAAAAGTCCTCTCTTATTGAATGATTGTGTACTTTCATTAAATACACTAAAATAATCATGAAACGCTAATAAATTTTTTTTAATATTCAATATTTATCACCAATTGATTCACTAGTATCAAATGAATATTGAAATGAAAATTGTATTTATTATAAATTTTGATGGAAGGACAAGTCTTCGACTTTTTACATGTTATTGTGAAATTTGAAATTGATTTCATTATAAAATTTAATAATTTTGTCAACTTTAATTAGTTAGAATTTGAGAAGAAATATTTCTTCTTTTCATTAAATTTTAATGAAAAAACAAGAATATAACAAAGAAAATCTCGAATTTTGTTATTTAAAGTCCTTGACCATTTTCACTAACAACAATTTCACCTTCTTCTTTTCCTTCACATCAACACATTACTCGATCATTCCAATAATCTGTCACATAGATTTGATCCAAATTATCAACAATTACTTTTCGAGAATAAGACAATTGGTTGAAATATTCTTCCTCGCCATTTCCTCCAGCCACAATCCTTCATTCTCTTGCATCTTTTCTCCATTTCATCGCACGATGATTCTGTCTATCTGTTACATAAAGGGATTGATCTTCGTCAACAAAGATAAAAGTAGGAGAATTGAGTTGATCTCTTTTTCCATTTCCATCTGCCACTACAATTCCTTCGTTGTCATATTCTCTCATTTTCCATTGTCTCTTTTCATTCTTCTTATAATAAGAAATAAAAGAAATTATCTATTGGCAAGCCTTGACAGTTAATATTCTTAATGAGAATTTGTTGAGTTTGATTTAATCACTGAATCACTCGTCTATTCACATAATCAGGAATGATGATCGAATGAATCTATTGATCAACAATCACATCTGTTGGGCGATCTATTTGAACCATTCGATTTCCTTGTTAATTTTCATTTGCAATGGTTTGTCCTTCCTTTGCATTATATTCCCATTCAACAATGCGATGATTATTAAGATTAGCAATGAAAATATTTTTCTTTTTATTAATAAACATTCCATAAGGACCATTGAGTTGAGTTGATTTAATTCACGTCTATATCCACTTTCGGCGGCTACAGTGATAGGATTTTGTTTCCATTTATTGAATTTGAACTCTAGAAAATAATGAAAATAAGAGATTTTTATGTTGAATTTTGCAGAATTTTATTGAAATAAATCATTCCAAGTTTTTTTGTATAGAAAATAAAAGAACAAATCTTTTGTTGAATTATTTTTTATTGAATAATCATTCGAGGAAGAGAAATGTTTTAGAAAATTTGTCAATAAAAAAAAACAAATAAATTTTAATGGAAAGATTCATATGAAATGAAGTTAATTACTGAATATTTGAAATATTTATATGAAAATAATTTTTTATTATTTTGAAAAAATAAAATAGTAAAAGATGAATAATAAAACAAATTATTGAACTGAAATCGAATAAACCAATCGAAATAAAACAATATGATGAAGATTTCTAAAATAATCAGATAAATCTCAATGAATTTATGATAATAAAATAAAGAAACTTTTCAATATTCATCAATTAATATATACTGAGATGTTTCCTAACAGTTTATTTCAAACTCATGAAAGTTATATTGAGAAAGTTTGAAAATCTCAAAAATAATAGATTATGATTCAGAATACAAAATAGAGTTTATTTCGATTTGTGTTTGCACTTTCTATATTTAATATAGATTTTAATTTCATTGAAAAAATATGAAAAAGCCAAACTTTTTTTTATACTTTTTCTTCAGAGTTAAAATCAATTTAGAGAAATTTTTAATTGATGCAATGCAAGAAATTTAAAAAATTCAATAGGGGAATTGGTATCTGAGAGTATATTCATCAATAAATCTGTTCGACAATAAAACATCTCGAAGTCTTCACGTCAAAACAATATTTTCTTCTAAAAATATACAAATCTTAAAAAGAATTCATATAAAACAAACAATATTACAAATATTTCAAGAAGTAAATATTATTTAAAGTTTATAATTTCAGAATATTTTATTATAATGAATAAACCTATGATTTCAATGTTAATTTTCAAATGAAAATATAATCATTGAATGTTTTCCCTTCACACCATATAAGAGAACAAAATATTTTTAATTTCAAAAAGAAGAATTTGAAAAATTTAATGTTTTGAGATTATTTCTATATCATTACTACTTCCTAATTTCTATTGAAAATACAAAAATCAAATTTTAAAGTAATTAAAAAGTTGAAATTATCTATTTGAATAATAAAATAGATTGATTTTCAGATATATTTTATTTTCGAATAATTTATTCAACATAAATAACAAGGAAATCAAATGATGAGTTATTATTGAGATCATTATAAAATCGAATTCTTTTTCTTTAAAATAATAGAAAAATGTGTTTTATTAATTATTTACTTTTTCTGAAAATAATTTTTAATCAAATATTTTTTCCTATCTTTATCAAATTTTTCTTTTACTTATGAATAAATTTTATTTTCTATTTCTATTAATACTATTCTTATTGATCAATAATATATTCTCAATTGTTTTTTCTTTTAGAAATTCTTTCTTAAAAACTCACTTTTTGATAAAATAATTGAAATATCATTAATAAACGATTGTAAATCTTGTTGCATAGAAATCTTGGATGAATTATTTAATTCTTGTGTAATTTCTATTAGTTGATTTGTTAAATAATTTAAATTAATTTCATTGAATTCATTTTCTTTATGAACTTGCTTTATTTGTTCAGATAAATCATTAAATTTCATTTCAATATCATTAAAGAGTGTTGATAAATATTCAATAACTATTTCTCTACAAGTTTATGCTTTTTGTTGAATTATTTCAATTGAATTTCTTTTATCAATGAATGATTTTGTTTTTGTTCATTAAATATTTGTTTTAATTGATCATCATCATTAATAATACGATTTAATTCTTCATTTAAAATGTGTTGATGTTCTGTAAAATATATTAAACAAAATTCTTCTGAACATCTTTTACAAGGAAATGTTATTTTGTTTTTCTTACATGTTAAACATAGCGTTTTATTATTTGCCATTGCCATGTCATTGAATAGAAGTTGATAGAAGAAATGAATATTTTACTTATTTACTTTTCTGGTTATAAACATAATAATTCAATGACAATAAAAGCATTGCTCGATAGTAAAGTAAATCGAAAAAGAAATCTTTTTGTTTATGACAAAATTCGATTAATAAAACTGATGTAATATCTTGAGAGTGCAATGATGGTATAATAAAAAAATTAGTCACATCCACACTTACCTCCAATGTCGGAAGTGAAACTTAACTATGTACTTTTTTCATTTTTGAGCTAAGAAAAAACAAGATTGTATGCGATGAATTTTTATTGTCCCGAATAAAATCACGTTGTTTTTATATAAACAAGAAAAAATATCTCTTTCTATTGTTTGATATCCTTTTGAAAAGTAACAATAAATATACGAGAAAACTCAACATAAAATATTTTTATAATCTTCAAAAAAATAATTAATTTTATTGTTAAATCTTTTATATTTTTATCAAAACAATATTTTATTCATATAAAACATTTCTTTTTGTTTTCTTATTTGATCTATAAAATATACAGTTCTTTGAGAATTATTGAGTTTTTTTGTATGAAATTTTATTATTTAATATTGCATAGTATATAATAAAAAAGTAAATTCTGAAATATCGAAATATTATCACAGCAAAAGCGTTAAAATTGTGAACTGTAAGAATAAATGACTTCTAATTATAACAACTAGATAATGATGATGTCATTTTTTTGATCTCGAATATATATAAGTCTTCAATGGAATTTTTATTTAATATTATACAAAGTAGTAGAATATGTGATTGATATTTGTAAATGATAATTTTGTTAACATGATATTGATTCATGTAAATAATTGATCTTATATGAGTTCTATTTATAATTCTTTGTAGTAAATCAAAGATTTATTTATTTCAATAATATATTTAATCATAAATAATTATAGAAATTATTTGACAAGATATCTCTAAATCAAATGTTAAATATTGATTGAATAAAAATTTCTAATCAAATTCTCAACCATACAACATAACTTGTTCATTATCATTTTCTAATCGTATCAAAAATTAAACAGTAGATCTTTACTCTGAATGTATCTTACATAATTTTATTAATTGATCTTTTTTTCATATCTTTTAATGGTTTTAAAAATATTTCAATAAATAATAATGTAGTATTATTTTTCATACATTTCCTATGTTCTTTCGTATTCAAATTCGTATTACTAAATTTACTTCTGATCGTTTTATCATAGATTAAACGTAAAATAATATTCATACGTAAGTTTTCCGTTTTGTCTATATCTCATAATCAAATAAGTTGATCTCGAGAATGTGAATGAGAACAATAATGAATATATCATACATTCATCTTATTATTGTTCGATTTTATTTTCATTTTTGCTATTAATATTGCGCGCATAGCGTAAAATAGAAGAATGTGATGTCACCCCGATTTGTCCCATTCTATATAAGACTCTAATTAATTTATCAATCAAGATATCTAAGCTTGTCTGAATCTTTACTTTATTCTTTATCAAACTTTATAGAGTAGAAAAAAAATTGTCAACATATTTAGCGAAAGAAATTCCATTAACATGAAAAGATTTGTTTTTTTTCTTTTATCGATCTTAACTGTTTTACCTAATTTAATAGCTGAATCAAGTGAAGTTAATTTTCTATTTTTTTAAATGGAAACATTTTAAGACGAACGCAAACTGATCAATCGGATAAAACAAATTTCAGGATAGATCTAGCAAACTGAATTGACACACTTCTTTCATATAAAAACGGTAGCTACTTATATAGCATGTTGAGGAAACGATAGAATGAATTATATCAACGAATATTACACTTGGAAAAATCTATGAATTAAAACATCATAGCTGTTAGTACACTGAAGAAAGAAACGAAGAAAACTTAGTAGAAAAACATACCTAAGAGAACGAAAGAAATAATATAGCTACAACAGACACACCAGAAAAGAAAGAAAGAAAGAAAGAAAAATATATGGATAATACCTATACTATGAATCATCTTACGTCACTTTATAAGTATGTGTCATAGAGAACAGCAAGGTATTACTTTCTCTCTTATACCATTATGATTTACCTTAATTGATAAATTAATTAGGGTCTTATATAGAATGAGATGAATTCGAGCGAAAAAAAATGGGACGAATCAGGGGGAGGGGGTAGACCGTATGTTGCTATAATGGTGATAATTTGTATGAAGATATCTTAGACAATGGTTGTAAATCCTCCCTAATATTAGAAGATCCCCTAGAGGTTCTTTTTTGTGGAAATTATAATAAAATTTCGACTTAGTTCGATGGATCATAATTGAAAGACCCGAGGCTTTTTATTATGTGGGGAAGGTTTAAACTAATATATGTAAAAGGTTCTTTGTTCATTAGCTGAGTTATCATGAAAATAATTATGAAAAAAAATAATCAATTTTATTATCTTGATTATTATTGATTTGAAATACGAAAATAAATTTTCATGTGTTTTAAAAAATCTTATATTTATCTTTTGATTTAATATCTCGTAATTTAGTTAATATAGTATCTATTCAAATTGATTGTCACTCACTTCAGAATACGAAAATCTTAGAAAATGAACAGAAAACTTTGTTTTCTATCAGTTAATTTTGTTCTTAGCATTTATTTTAAATTGAATAAGACATTCTATAGATTTTAACTTCGTATTTATATAAATAAGTTTTTAATATACACATAGTTGGTAACTCCAGTTGCTAAAGTCGTTTATTTATTTAAATAAAATAAAGAAAGAAAGAAAATGTTAATCTGTAGGATATTTACAAGATTTTTGTATCATTCATTTAATAGGAAATGTTATTCTAATCTGTATTCTTACTTGAGTTTAGATTTACAAGAGAAACATATTAAAATTATAATTATCGGCTTACAAATAAGGTCGAATTTATTTTATTATTCATCAAATAAAATTGTATTAAAGAACTATTTTAGTCATAGAAATTCTACATTTAATTTATTGAGAAAATAAAGTTTTAAAAAAATAATTTTATTAAATAATGAAAATTAATTTTTTCTCTATGAAAAACTCTAAATTTGAATTATCTTCTCATCATCGATTAGTCAAGATTTCTAACGAAGAAAATAACTCATAGAAATCTTCCAATTTTATTACAACAGAAATATGTAGACGATAAATATTATGTGATTCTTATACGATCATTTCAAATAATTGATTATTAAAATTAACCAGAGTAAATCATCTTCTAAATATGACTTATTATTTTCTCTTACGTATAAAAATTCTTATAAACAAATCAGTAAAGTGTGGATATACTAGCAAGTAAACAATTTATTCTCATTCGAATCTTCTCTAGAAGAAAGAATAAACCATATATTCTTGATTTATAATTCTATTGGAGGAGGGATCAATCAGTTCGGTTTTTTATTTAGTCTATTCATATAAACGCAATATAATTGTTTTCTTGTTTCTTTTCGTCTGATTCTAGTCCTAGATTTTTCTTCATTCTTCTTAACGAATATATAAATTTCGATTCATTTTTAACATTTATCCTGTCTGACTTTCGTCGATGTGATGAACCGACATCATGTGTAATCAAACGACTATTCATTTATTTGAACACAATAAAATCACTTAGAAGATCATCAGTTAGAACTTAAATGTCTTTATTCGATTTATTCATTATCAATATGAACAAAAATTAAATGATTATAAAAGATTAGTTAATGAAATTAATTCTTTACTCGATAATAATTTTAATGATGTTGAACAATTTTTTTGACTTTGATTTAAATATTAAATAGTTTTAAATAAAAGCCAAGTACAGAGTTAATAATGTATTATTTAAGTAAAAAGCTAAATATATTATTATTGTAGTATTAAAGTTGGGGATAAATATTAATACACTTTCGAATGTCAGTGTTGTTTGTGTTATCCTTATTATACCCTGATGACGTCAGTATCGCATGCACTACTATTTATAAATTTAAGATAAACTTTTATTAATAGATTCATAGACACCGAATCGAGAAAGATATCTGTGCTTATACATAAACAACGATAGTGGTAGGAAAAAAGCAGTAACGTATATGAGATGAAAAGAAAAGATTCACATGTATTTCATATATATATATCGGCAATTAAAAGAAATAATCAACTGACTACATATTATTTCTCAAATGTAAATAAAAAAAGATGTGATATTCTAATACTGAAAGGAGAGAAGAAGAAGAAGAGAAAATGTATATATGTATAATATATCATCAGAATTAATCTTTATTAGTAATTATCTTATAGTAATATATTTAACTTAGCAACTCAACGTTAGTTAAATTATTTTTATTTTTAAAACCAATTCTAAATCATGAAATATTTTATTTGCTATAGTTTAAATTGAAGCAACTGAATCAAAAAATATAGTTGTTTATTGTCATAGTTTTATACAAAAGGATTTATTATTATTAGAATCTTTTAGAAGATGATGCATTATTCATAGATTTTGATCGATTGAAAAAGATTAATTTTTATTTTGATAGTTTAATTCCAGATATTGTTAATAATAAATGAAAAAGTAAATCGATATTATTAAAATCAATATGATGGATATATGTTTTTCAATAATGAAGAATATAATTACAAACAATGAATAAGAAATAATATTTTTCATTTTATATGTTTTCTAGTCATCCAATTATTGATGATAATTTATGAGCATGGTATTGTAAAAAGAACATAGTTGAATTGTTATTTTTCAAATTATTTTCTATTTTTTTTTTCTAGATTTTAAATGTTTCAACTCTTCAAATTGATCGTATATGACCATTATAGTTGAATGATGATTATACGATCTTAACAAAAAACATCATTGTATTCATTTCTGTCATAAAAAAGATAATGGCAGATTAAATGATCATATAGATCAAGACTATGATTTATTAGAATCATTTTTTAATATTATTTTACAACCTGTTAATGTAAATATATCAACTATAACATGTTTAACTAAAAATAATGTTTTAGATTGTTGATTCATATCGGAGTTTTCAAAATCATCTTATTCATGTTCATCATATGGATCCACCAATGTGAAAAATTGTAAATTAGGCTGTGGGTGTGCGTGAGGTTGTGCAAAGAAAAGAATACCGGCATGTATCCACACCTAGACACAGACCTGCCCTCACCCCTTAAGATTAGCTGCTATTATTATGATTTGTAAGCTTAGAATATCTTTTTGATTTTTTCTATTTTTGTAAAATTTTATATTAATAATAATAATAAAATCTCCAACAGCTGATATAACATGGCCGAAAAGGTGTGAAAAGACAATTAGCTAATCTTGATAGATTTATTGAAGAAACTCAATTATTTGATAAAATTAATTTAACAGAAGAACATATTCAGTTAATTAGTGGAATTATTGATAATGTTCAACTTGAAAATTCATTACTTAATCAAACATCTTATTACAATGTTGTTTTAACACTTTAGAAATGAGTTAAACAAGTTTTACAGTTAGTTATTTGGAAAAAAATATTACTATTATTATTTTATATAGATATCATACAGTTTTACTTAAAAAAATTCGATCAATACATCAGAAATATAAAGAAATTGAAGAAAATGTAAAAGAACAAGATCAAAAATTAATTTTATTAGATGATAAAAGTCAAGTTAGTTTCTTATTGTTGAACATTTTTATATTAAAATAAAATATATATGATTAAGCATTAGAAGCTCGTTTAAAAGATCTCTCAAAAAATTTTGAAGAAGGAACAGTTGCAATGAATGAAAATCAATTAAAAACTGGATCTGAATTGAATCAAGTTTGTTAAAAATTTTTGAAATATTTATTTTTCTAGATTTTATGTCGAGAATTAGAACAAACAAGTAAATTATTTGAAACAAGTGTAGAACGTCAATCAATATTAAATGGTACATGTACAATTGCATTAGTATTTTTAACTTATCTTGATCCATTCACATATGGATTTTGATGTCTTATGTTAACTGTTCATTGGATTAAATGTATTCGAGATAGAGGAATAACTATTGTTTTTGATCAAATATCATCTACTAAAGGTCGAATTATAAATTGATAATTAAGATCCTATTAAAGAAAATTTACTACAAGTAAATAAAATTTTTATTTTAATTTGAAAAATTACAAAGAAAATTTCTTTTTTGATAATTGACGAACAAAAATCATTTAGTGGACCTGAATATCATCAGATGCTATTTTGTTTAATGAAATTTTTATTAGGTGATCAAATATATTATGAATGGTTAAGTGATGGAGTTTTACCATCAGAAATGCAAAATCATACAATTATTATTAAATCAATTGAACAATCATTTTTATCTGGTTCAAAAATTTATATAAAAAATTGTAATACACTAGATAGTCTTCTTTATCCATTAGCACAATGGAAAGCAACATCACAAGAATCAAACTTAAATGATGGTACATCAACTTTCTTCTTTGTTTCTTATTTAAATTTAAAATATTTATTTAGATTCAAATTTAATAATTTATTGTGGTCGTCGTTTCTATTGTAATCCATCATTTCGTTTTTATTTTCATACAACTTGTGATTCACTGGATAAAGTCTCATCATCATTATCATTATTAACAACATCTATTAATTGTCAATATAGTGTTGAAACATTATTAGATGATTTACGACAACAAATTTT